CCCCCAAATGTTTGAGATGTAAGGTGACAGATTATGATCTCCTGCACATGCTGTGTCATTGCCCAGTGATAGAAGAGTTCTGGAGACGGGCCATTGAAATAATCTCAAGGGTAATGGGGATCCAAATTGAACTGGACCCAAAACTATAATTCTAGGTGACACAGGTTCTATTAATGTGAATTACCATAAGAGATATTTTATTTTACTTGCGAGTACTGCAGTGAAAAAATGTATTCTGCTATATTCGAAATCTGAAAATTCTCCAACATTGAGACACTGGATTAATGAGCTAGCGTCCTACTGCACACCTGAGAAGATATCGCATAGTGTAAAAGGGAAATATGGAACCTTTGAAGAAATTTGGGGCCCCTTCCTGGCAGTACTACCGTCTTTGGACCTAATAGATCATAGAGATGACGCAAATCCCCCTGGGTCTGCCTTGATTTGATCCCCGGTTAGGCCTTCCTGACTCGATTTCCTGAATGCTGCAGTTTTATCGTGGGGGATGTTGATTCCTGTGCATGAGAGTTTCTATAGAAACTGTCTGGATACACGAATGTGATGAGGTTGAGAGCCATACAGGGGTAAAGGGGTGGGGGGGATGGTGGGAGGGGGTTTACATGATGTGTTTTGTGTTTTGCTCACTTTTTTTGAGTTCTTTGTTTCTTTTGTTTGTTTGTTTTTAAAAAAAATTCTGTAATTATCAATGTTGTTATGTTATTATTATTATTATTGTCATCATTATTATTATTATGCTTGTATTTTCTGTGTTTGGTTTTCAGATGTCTGAGGTTATCCTTGAAAGGCATAGATACAAGAGTGTGTACCTGGGAGTGCTTCTGTGGTCACAATGGCCTGCCATGTTGTGGTTATTTGTTGATACTTGCTCTGTCCCATAGTTGTGAGTTTTCTGGGTTTTTTTTTTTTTGTTGTTGTTGTTGCTTTGTTTGTTTGTGTTTGTTTTCTAATTTAAAAATGAAAATAAAGCTTGGGAAAAAAAGAAAAAGAAGGCGATCATGGTAATGAGCGCATGCTATGACCAATAATGAAAAACTGCTGTTTTTCCAGTCAATTAGGAGCATTTTTTCCAGGAATTCATTCATGCTCTCAGAACAGTTAAGCCAGCCATTAAAATGCATTGAAACCATTCTTCCCCAAACAGCCTTGTTTTGTACTAATGTTCATTTCTTTTGAAATATTTATAATAAATACTGTCTGAACTTGCAGAGTGCTTGCTATTCCATTTTTTTTTAATTTAATGTAGTTTTATTGTGTTTTGACATTTGTGCCAAAAAAAAGACTGTTTTGTATTACAGCCTTTAACATGGTTTTAGGAATAATATTTCTTAAGTACAGTGTTTTAAATTTAGTAATGAAGCATATTTAATACAGCGGCAAACCAGAGGAAATGAGCAAACAACATCTATTTCCACAAGGAAGGAACTGTTTTAAAATGTAAATATCAGAAAAATGCAATGACTCGAGAATCACTTAAATGCTATAATTATTTGAAACTAGTACACAGAAAGCATGACTGTTATCCTTCTTGAAACATACTTCATGGGCCTATTTTCTTTGGATACTGGCTGAATTTTAAATAATTTTCAGTCCAGTCATTGTACCTGATCATTTTCAGAGGAATGTCTTTTGTCTGTTTGTTTAAGTCACTTAACACTGACCTATAAATAATTCAAGCATACAAAAATTTGTTATCCAGATACATTTGTTTACCTGCTTGAACTTACACAGCTTTGATCCTTCATTATCATATTCGAGTTGGCATTGAAGGGGGGATTAGGCTTGGGGCCAGTGGTGGATATAGATAATACCACCTGCATCTAATTGCTAGGTTTTCCACTTAAAGACATCATTAAAAAAAGACATTCCTCAAAGGTGAATCACAGGCCTAAACTTGCTTCACTTAATGAAACACTGAAGATTATCTTAAATAGCAACATATTTAAGAAAACCAACTAAAACTAACTTTTTTTTTTGACAATTTCCTGGCAGGTTGCTCTTTAAAATGTTTTTCGAGGTAATATTTTGATCTGTCATTCTACAGTCTATTTACCCATGTCATTTTGAGCTTCTTCTTAGAACTAGTGTGTCCCCTTCAATTAGCAATAGACGTCATCACTGGCTAAGGTGAGGGTAAGAAGCAGAAAAAGAGATTAAAAAGCATGGCACAGCAAATTTTCAGATCTCAGTACATAACACTTAGATTCTTGCCATGTTACATGCTTTTTCACTTTGGTTCCTGCTCTTCTGATTATTCCCTTTTAGTCAGTCTGAAGCTGACGACTTGGGACCAGAATTAAATAGTCTTTTGCAAGTCTTTGCCTCAAATTTATCATTACATTTCTTGCTTCAATTTTTCCTGCAATGTCTAGTTTTTAATTTTGAGGTTTGTCTTTTGCTTGGACTTCTATAACTCTGAATTCTCCACTCCACCTTTAATTGTTTATTTTAACATAAACTATTGACATGCTCCAGGGCCTGATCAACCCTGGCAGGGCCTCCTTGGATGAGGGTGTCTAGCGATAATGGCCGAAACACCCGATGAATCCAAGGTCCACTACTGACGATGTGTCCCAAATTTTAACAATTTAGATCAGATCTCTAATCCCTAAACCTAACTGCGGAAAATGGCAGGTTAGTTTGGGTAAAAGAACTAAAGTTGTGCCACACAACGATGTGGTAAAGTTTCTGGGCTGCTTTTCCTCATAACAACCATCCCTCAAGATTTTCTCCATTAAAAGCAATGCATTGTCTGGGATTGTAACATCTAGTCCTTTACTGACTCATAATGAACCAGCAGAACTAGACATTTGACCTCTGCTTCTTGCTGTTTGAACTTTCCACTTGTCTCACTGTCATCCACATACATATGCTGTTTTACTTCTACTAAGTTTCTTTCCACTTCTCTAAAGAGCACATCTCCACTTCTCCAGGCTCTCTTCCAAATGCTCGTAAACATCATAGTCCATGGAGACTCCTGTCTGACCTTATCTGTCAGCCTGTCCATCACCACTGCAAACAAGAATGGGCTCAAAGCCAGTGTATACCGATATAATCCCAACTTCCACCTCCCTGAACCCATCCATCCCTCCTACTGCACACCTCACCATTGTCTCACTGTGCTCATACATGTCCTTTACCACCCTCACATACTTCTCTGCCACGCCTAACTTCCTCACGCAGTACCACAGTGTTAATCTTTGCTAACACTGCATCTGTAGTGTTCTTTCTCAGCATGAAATCATATTGCTGATTCTCTTCTTGAACTAGCTTCAACGAGTCATGTGGCTGTAGAGCAGGTGGTAGAGCAGGTCCATCAGTTACTCCATCAGTGCTCCTGTCTCTCATTTTCTCCATTTGACTACCTGACAGGCAGATCGCAGTTTGTGAGACTGCAGAGCTGTGTGTCAGAGTCTGAAGAGCAACATAGGAGCACCTCAGTGAACTGTTCTGTCCCCTTTCCTCTTCATCATCTATACAGCCTACTTCAAGTACATCACAGAAATGTGCCTCCTCCAGAAATTCTCTGATGACACGGCCATTATTGGAAGCGTGGAGATGGGAAGGGAAGAGGAGTACAGAGGAATGATTGATGGTTCATGAGGTTGTGTGAGGAGAACCACTTGCAGCTGAATGTGGCCAAAACAAAGGAGCTGGTGGTGGACTTTGGCAGAAACAGATCCCAACCCTCCCCTGTCTGCATTGGTGGGACTAATGTGAAAATAGTCACATCCTACAAGTATCTGGGAGTTCAACTGGATCACAAGCTGGTGTGGTCTGCCAACACGGATGCTGCCTACAAAAAGGGTTCGAGCCGGCTTTACTTTCTATGAAGGTTCAGATCCTTCAAATTATGCAGCAGGCTGCTCTACATGTTTTATCAGTCTGTTGTTGCGAGCACCATCTTCTTTGCTGTGGCGTGCTGGGGTGCAGGCATCAAAGCAAAGGACGCAAACAGACTGAACAAACTCATCAGGAAGGCAGAGTCTGTTGTTGACATGAAGCTCGCCACCCTGGAGTTGGTCATCAGTGACAGAATGCTGGCAGACTGCTGGGAATCATGGACAATGACTCCCACCCCCTCCATAACACACTGGACAATCTGAAGAGCAGTTTCAGCAACAGGTTCCTTCGCCCTCGCTGTCTGAGAGAACGTTACAGGTGGTCGTTCCTTCCTGCTGCTATCAGACTCTTTAATTCATCCACTTGGGTCAGGTCCACACATGTGGAACAGAATTAATCACACCTCAACGCACCTTGTCACTTTTGTACACTGCAAAATATTTCCACACATACTCGTCCTTTTATATTTATATGTATACCTATATCCATATATTTATCTATTTATTTTAATATTTATCTATTATAACTCTGTTTCTACACTAATCTTATGTGCGTGCTTGTGTTTGTTGTATATTTGCTGCTATGACAACTCAGTTTCCGTCTGGGATTAATAAAGTTTCTCTGATTCTGATTCATCAGCTTCTCAACGCACTCCTATCTTTCAGTCATACTCTCTTCATTCTTCTTCGTTAGTACATTTATAGAACAGCTTCTACCCGTGGGCTGTCAGTACCATAAATGCAAATTAAGAGTGTGAGCAGACAAATAGCAGCTGTTGCTGCTATTTGCTATTGATTATGTTTAAATTTTTTTGTGCAATATTTTGTTCTGTGAATATTTCAGCAGATGTTCAATTTCCATCCCTCAACATATCATCACGTCAAATTGGCAGATTTACACCAGATGGACTTCCTGATACTACTGTCCCCAATTATATGGGCTTAGGACTAACAGTAGGACTACATTGGGTTGTATGTCAACTAAAAACAAAACAAAACACAAACAAACAAAATATATATTCACAGATATCTGGTATCACTTATAATTTCCAATGTAAATGTAAATGAGAGTAATACTCTTTAAATTTAAGGCGCATGTGGTTCATACTTGAACCCTTCAGCACTGTCAGCGTGCTATACTTTTGTTCAGGCAGTACTTGGCCGCCACGTTAGCCGGTGTCGTAGTCGTACAGGACCTTTCAACATGGCGGCGACGGGTACAAAGTCGGTTTTGTTCGTTTGTTTGGGTAAGAGACGTCTTTTAAACCCACAAAACCTCAGTTAAAACTTACACGTGTTACTGCTTAAAAGCAAACATGTCATTCTGTCAGCAGGTCAACTCATCGCATTTTAATAAATGAAATGAGCTTCGTTAGATGTACCTCAGAGTGCTAACTATGTACTAGCTGCCTTACAATGAACGCGAAGCTGCCAAACACACTTTCCACTTAAGGCTCTTAAACTTTTAACTTCCATGTGTGTATGTTTGGTATCTAATCAGCTGTAGCCTTATGTGTAAACGTCAAGCAAGGTGTCCGTGTTTAACTGGAGAGATACGTGTCTAAGCTCAAAGAATCCAAAGTGAAAGCTGTCAGGAACTCACCTCAGCACGGAAACGTCACTGCAGATAATTTGAAGCACATGCGTCCAATTCTGAAATAGTTTTCAAGATGTAGCAGAGTGTAGGTTGGCTCTATTATTAATTTGAGTGGTAGATTTTTCATTATAATTCGTTTCACATTTCATTAAAGCTTCTACAGAGGATTTTACTTTACCAATGGACTGTTTCCTGAAAAAATACTAAACGTGATCAAACATTTTAGAAACTGCTTGATGCAACTACCAAAACAGTAACTTAAACATTACATGTTAAGACACACATAGATTTTATGTTATATATTTTGGACATTAACAGATTAGTTGTTATTTTAGCCATTTACTAAAGCATCCCGTTTAGGTTTTTTTTTTTTTTTTTTTTTGCATACTTTTACCTCTGGTGCTGTCGACATCCTAATTGGAGGAAGGGTTCAAGTAGTACTGGCCTTCTGTAAAACAGCACAGATAATTAGGCGGGTTAGACAAAAGCTGTGAACATTTTATTTATGGTTTATTCAATTTGACTAATTAAGCCCCTGAAAATATTTTTAATTAATTTGTTTTATGTTAATTGCATTAAATTTAAGCCAAAAGTCTGCTCTTCAATTAGATCTTTTATGAGATTCTAGATTTTGTTTAGGACATTTAAAAGAAAAAAAAAGTCACTGTTCACAAAGTTGCGACTGTATTTCAAATAGGAGTTTTATATAAGCACAGTAAATCCATTGTCTTTGGATGTTGCCAGTAATATGCTGGACTTCTGCATGGGTCTACATGTTAAAATATGAGCTTAAGTTTTAGAAATATTTTTTCAGGTTTTAAAATATTGTAAAGGTTTTGCCCCTTTTCGTCTGTTATGCCTCAGATGCTGTCCCAGGGAGCAATCACAGTGCACAGAATAAGAAAGAAAAAAGCTTAATCAATATCTGGCCTCGACTCAAGATTTTAAGTCATTTTAGTTGTTGACACAGTCCGAAAGTAAAGTCAGTTTCACAATACATTTCTTTTTTGTTTTAGCAGTCGAAATCCATTTACCGTATACAGAAAAGTTTGTATTTTAAAATATCATACATATATCTTTATGATATACTGAAGTTATGTGTATTACCACTGGGATATTGCAGTTTTCTAAATATATCCTTATCCCTTTAATATGGTGATGTTGTTTGTGGTGTTGAACAGGGAATATCTGCCGATCCCCCATTGCTGAAGCAGTCTTCAGGAAGATGGCAACTGATGGTGGCATCGTTGATCAGGTAAAGTCATTGTTGACATATGTTTTCATTTCGTACTACAGATCTGCTGTACACATTTTTTCTGTTTATAACTCCTGCCATTTGATACAACTATGGAAATGACAACAGAAGTGTCAGCCACTCACCTTAAATGTTCTGTTCAGTGTTGCATGTTTGAAGAGCCCTTTACATATTACGTATAACACTACAATATGAATAACATATCAAGAACTAGTCTCAAAAATATTTCCTCTGGCATTAGTGAGGAAAATTATTTCTTCATACTGGTTGGTTGATAATATATATTTTTAATTTGGCAGTATTAACTTCGCAGTTTTAAAGTCCTGGTCTCTGGAGAGAAATTCTATATGAAATTAACTTTTGCTACTAACTGCAGTACATTGATTTAAAATGGAAAAAATGAAAGTTCAAAATTCCTCACTGAATTCAATTTGGATAATAGCGACCTGCTTACAGTCTCTAAAGATGATTAGGAACATTTACCTTCAGTTTAAATGTGGAGTTGCCCTTTATTCTGTACAGAAACTTCTTTCTTTATGAGACTGTAATTCGGTTTTGTTGAGTTTCTGATTCCCGTGCTTTGTTCTGCCTAGTGGAGGATAGACAGTGCTGCCACCTCCACCTATGAGATAGGAAACCCTCCAGACCATCGTGGTCAAGCCTGCATGAAGAGGCATGGCGTGCCCATGAGGCATGTGGCCAGGCAGGTATGATCACCCACCACCTCTCTCAAGACGTAGCTAGCGCCCCCTTTTTGTTCTCTGTTGCAGTGGATCATAGACAGTGGTGCCACATCAGACTGGAATCTAGGCAGCTTACCGGATGCCCGCGGTCTAGCCTGCCTCAGGAAGCATGGCATTGACACGGACCACAGGGCGCGACAGGTACAACCAGACGTCCCACAGCTGCTGTCACTGCAGTGGAAAGTGTGTGTGTGTGCGTGCGTGTGTATGTGAGAATGTAATGCTGCTCAATCACATTTTTAAAAATAAATTGTCACATACTTAAAACAGTGAGTAAGAAGAGTAGGTAGCAGTCTTCTCTCTTAATTACAGGATGATTTTCAGGCATCTTGGCCTCTTGTGGTAGCATGGATGTTGCTCACAGACCAGCTGAGTGTTACTGGTCTACACTCTATGTTTCACTTGGATTTTATTCTGAAGGTCTTGATCTGTTAGTCTGCTCCATCATGCTTTCTTCTGTCTACAGAAGAACTGTTAAATAGCTATTGTGGTTGTTTTTGATGTCAGTCAGCTGCCTACCAGGGAGTCTGTCATCCTAGAAACCTATTCTCCAGGTCTGTGTAGTCAGCTTTCTAATCACAAGAACCAACTTTCCACCTGCTAGAAGTTTTGGTTTGTGCTGTTTGTTCTTCTCTTTGGATCTTTCAATTAGTAGAGAAGGGTGACTGTTGCTAAGACTGCAAGACATTGTGCCCAAACAGCAGCATGAAGGAAGTGAAACACGTGTTTGTACTGCTTGGGGATAGCTGCTTAACTGGTTTTCTTTTGAAAAGGAGACTGTCAGCTAACCTGCTCATGAGTTAACGAGATGCGCTAGAACAGGATCTTCCACAGAACTGTCTGAAGTAAATTTTAAACCTGTTTGGAAAAGGGCCTACATTTTTAAAAAAAACATTTTGAGGCACTGGCTATCTAATCCTTTTAAAAAAAGAAAAAAAGTTTGTTTGTATAAACCCAATACACTAATTGCCATATTTGCTAAGCCAAAATGTAATTCATAATAGAACATAAAAACTTGGGAAAATTAACCATTTTAATGTAAATATAAGTTCATTAAGAAATTAATGGCAGCACCATGTCTCAAAAAAATGTTGGGCCAGGGCCGAGAATAATGTTCCTCAACATTAAAGACTTTTAATATCTCATTATCTGCAGTACAAGATATAATCATAATAGATTCAGAGAATCTGGAAAAAACTCTGTGCGCAAGGGACAAAGTTAAAAATCAGTATTTGATGCCTGTGATCTTTGGCCCCTCGGGTTGCACTGCATGAAAAATAGGCATAGATCAGTAAACATAGTTCGTCATGCCATCCACAAATGCAGGTTAAAGCTGAGTCATGCAAAGAAGTAGCCAATCGTGAGCACAATCCAGAACACTACAGTCTTCTCTGGGCCAAAGCAAAGCGGAAAACTGCTCTGTGGTCAGAGAAATTAAAATGTAAAATTCTTCTTAAAAATGCTGCGTCCCTCAGAGTAAAGAGGAGAGGGACGATCCAGCTGGTTATACGTATTCTGTTGAAAAGCCTACAGCTCTGATGGTATAGCAGTGTATTAATGCCTTTGGAATTGATATTTTGCACATCTGGAAAGGCACTAGCAATGCTGAAAGCTATTTTACAGGTTTTAGAATAACATATACTCTAGGGCTGCCACGATTTGTCGACTAGTCACGATTACGTCGACTATCAAAATCGTCGACGACTGATTTAATAGTCGACGCGTCGTTTGAAGCTTTATAAGATCCCAAAAGACGCAGGAATAAGTAGCAGGATTTAAGAGTGTAATAACGGACTGAAACAGAAGATGGCAGCACTGCATGTACAAGGATGCCAGCTGTTAAACCCCGAAGAAGAAGAAGAAGCAGCTGTGTCCCAGAATTCATAGCGCGGCCCAGCTCAGTTTCCAACAATGGCGGCAGCTAGTTAGTTTTAATGTTACTCTTATTATTCTTTCTGGGTCACAAAATAAACGTTTAACATATTTTCAGGCGAGAATGTAGCTGTGTAAACCTCAAATATCTGCTCAGTTTATCAGGACACCACATATTTTCAAAAGCGCTCCGACGTTTTCGGAGACGTCTGTTACCCACTAGCTCGATAGCTAGCCGGGGGCTAGGTCACTAGCGCGGTGAGAACACCGGACTCCCGGCAAATTGTTTTCAAACCCACCGCCGTCTTTCGCTACTCAGGTTAAATATATATGAGTCACTTAGATAAATTAAAAATGTTATTGTTTGGCTTTTTTTTTAGTATTTTATTTGTTCCTGAGTAAATCGGTTTGGCTGAGATTAAAGTTATAGTTTTTACACAGATGAATAAACGTCAAGCAGACAGCTGATTATCAGAAGTGTGAGATGCTGGAGAATATACTCCGGTGTCCTGTTATATTTTAGATAGCAAGGAGTTTATTAAACTTCACCGAAACAATCTGCAAATTTCATTAAAATTGAATAAACTATCATCTTGTCTTTATTTTTAGTTAGCACCTTAAAAGCTTAAAGCTGTAAGCTAATGATAGTTATATAAGAGCAGATGCTGCTGGTGCAATAAGCTGTAGTTTTACGTCCAGTGGATGATGATCTGATTAGTCGACTAATCGCATAAATAATCGGTGACTAGTCGACTATCAAAATAATCGTTTGTGGCAGCCCTAATATACTCCCATTCAGATGATGTCTTTTTCTAGGAATGCCTTGCATATTTCAACAAGACCATTCCAAACTGCATACTGCAGCTATTGCAAGAGCATGGCTTCATAGAAGAAGAGCCCAACTGTCCTGCCTGCAGTCCAGACCTTTCACAGACTGAAAACATTTGGCTCATCATGAAACCAAAAATATGACAAAGAACACCCAGGACTGTGGAGCAACTAGAATCTTATACCAGACAAGAAGGAAAGAAAATAATTTACCCAAAGATCAGCAGCCGGTCTCCTCATTTTGCAGTTTTTTATGGACTGTTGTTAAAGGAAGAGGAGCTGTTTCACGGTGGTAAACACGAACTTGTCGCGAGTTTTGAGATGGGTTGCACCATCAATGCAAAATGGCTTAAAATGGCTCATTTTCTCAGCTTAAGGATTTCAGAAAATATTCTGTTTTTATTTACATATCACAAACTGTATAACATTTTTAGGAGTTGGGGTAGTATTTTTGAGTGTAATAAAGAAGCTGATAGCCAGTCCCTGGTCTAGACTAATGTTCAAGTTGATGGCACCTGTGACGTTTGTGAAATATTGATGAAGCCAGTGTAGCAAGCATCACTGCACAGATGTTTCTAATCCTTAAAGAGGCCTGAAATTACACCAAGATGTTTGTCCATGTATGGCTTCAGGCTTTATGCTGCGCTGGCTTCTCCTTACAGTAACTTCTACTCCCCAGTGCCCTTAAACACTGAGAGATCTCCGGTGTTTCACCCTAGACTTGAGATCTCCCATCTCCTTGTTTTGGCTTACTGCAAACCAGTTCTGTCAGACCCTCATCTAATCTCCTCAAAGCAGGGATGGGAAGGCTCAACCCTTGGCTTAAACCCAACCAAATCCACACAATAAGCTTTGACAAGTCTTTGTTTTTTCCTCTTTTTCTTTAGCACTCTTTTCTGCCACGTTTTCTTTTTTAATAACCCACCCTCCAACTTTGCTGAAGGCCTGGCGTGGCCAGTGTCCAAGCAAACTGGCCAGCTGGGAGCTCGTTTAAAGACCTGTGTATCCCCAAATAAACAAAAGTGTGTTTATTTTATAAACACATATTTTTCAAAGTGATCCATAACAAGTAACTTAGGGTAATCAAAAATTTGACATCCAGACATCAGATTTAAGAGAGTTGCAATTTGATTATCGTAAAACCAACACTTGAGGAATGAACACTTTTTGCCAAAATACCATCATCCTGTAGTAATCACATTAATTTCACCTGTCACCAGTTCAGCATTGATGCTGTGCAGATAAGTTTTACAAGCTGAATTCTCGTCCTTTTCCCACCATTACTCAAAAGTGCGAACATAATTAATGAAGAAAAGATCTTAGCTTATCTGTTAATGGTTATTTTTTGGATAATTCCTAAGGAATGCTTCTTCAACACACATTAATGATAGCTGTAAGTAGATATTATGTAGATATTATATTTTATTACTGGCTAGAACTATAATCGACAACACAAGTGAAAGCTGGTGTGCAAACAGATAATTAACTTCAAATGTAGATGTGCCTGCTAGGTAGGGCTGCACAATTTTGCATAAAATGAGAATCACGATTTTTTTGCTTAGAATTGAGATCACGATTCTCTCACGATTTTCTTTTCCAGTATAAATATTTATTGCACTTATTAACTGCACATCAACTTCGTAACAGTTGAGACTGAACATAAAAACAATAAATAAACATAAAAACAACAGATGTCTCACGTTTTGTTGTTGCCGCAAAATGTTGCACTGCTTGAAATTCCGTCTCCACCGTTGCTCGACACTGCGTGTATAGAGCAGGTAGTGCAACAATAGAAAAATAGTTGCTGGACGGCACTGTGTAGCGTTTGTCTAGGGTGTTTATCATTTTCCTAAATCCCTGGTTTTGCACAGTGTTGATGGGAGCCATATCTTTGGTCAGGTGATAAGTAATAGCCTCCGTAATTTCTTTGTGCCTGCGGGAGTTCGACGGGTATAGGGAAGCGCTGTATAAGGTTCCCGTTATTGATGTTTGGGTGGTTGACCGGGACGGATTTTGTCCTGTCACTTTCTCGTCATCTCTGACGTGTTCTCTGTTGTTTTTTCCCTGCTAATTTTAGCATCACACGGCACAGCTTCTGTATCACGTGGTATAAGGCTCCGCCCTTGTCATTCGTTGAGCAGGAAGAGTGAGCGCTTGTTTTCATGCAGATTACGTCCCGGATCAAAATGCGGTACAATCGTCGTCGTCTTTTTTATTTTTTATTTTTTAAATCGTTGTCATTTGGAAATGAGATCGCACATAAGTATGAATCGAGATCGCGATTTTCTAACGATTAATCGTGCAGCTAGGGCTGCTCGATTATGGCAAAAATGATAATCAGGATTATTTTCACTGAAATTGAGATCTCGATTATTTGACGATATTTATTTAACCCTTTAAGACCTACTATAGAACCAAGTCCGCCAGAGCTTATATTATATTTTTACATGTTGTAGTGCCATTTGTGGGAGCATTTCAAGTTGCTATACAACTGTTATAGCCCATATTTTAAATAATATGTATTCATTAAGTCCATAGTAACTACATTAATTGCAAAAAAGTGCAATAAACTACAAAAAAATTGAAAATCGTTTTTGTTTTTTTTTTACATATATTTCTACTTGGAGAAATTTAAGGGTTTATCCCTCAAAACTTTAAATACAAAAAAGTTGCAAAAAATAGTTTACAACAACAGGAAATTTATTTTGAGTGTCTTCATAGTTTTATTTTGGAGATACAGCAATTTTTATATACTGCAGGAAAAATGAAAAAACAATCCTATGATGCAAATTTGCAAAGAAAACAGCAGGTGCATCAAAATAAACTATTTCCAGCAGTGCAATTCGAGTTCTAAGCATCACAGAAACTATTCAGAAAGGTCAAACATGACCAGTATAGGCTTTTAAGGCCTACGAGTAAAAAACTACAATTTCCGCGAAAATGACGTCACTTCCGGTTTCGGCCAGGAAATGGCGGATATGCGGTAGTTCGTGCTGACTACTGTTTCAATGTGGGAAGTGTTACGAACAGCTGATCAGATCGGCAAAGCGTGTTTCTGGAATATTGTGTTTTTGTTCCTGCAAGCGCTTTTTATGCAATTTTTGCAAAGCTTTATGTGGAAGGAAACCGTGACCGAGGACAAGCTGATGGCATCAGATGTAAGTACAACTCCTCTGGTTTTATATGCAAAACAAATTATTGCGCTAGCTTACGCGGTTCAGGTTCTACAGGGATTTAAAAATAGTTACACAACACGGAGCGTGCTGCTCTGACCGGCTTTAAAGGGTTAACAATGACTTTAAAAAAATAATGTAAAATAGTGTGCAACACCACTGAAGTTTTTTTTTTTTACCTGTCTTTTCAACCAACAGCAGTCACTCTCCTCTCCAAATAACTTCTGCTTAGCTTTCTGAGCTTCCCTCGGGTCCTCTTAATCAGCGGTCTCCACCCTTTTTTGCGCCACGGACGGTTTATGCCCGACAATATTTTCACGGACCGGCCTTTAAGGTGTTGCGGATAAATGAGGGAGGGGCTAATAATCGGCTCAGTCATTTTTAATGATCGTTGAAAGCCCAGATCGTAATCGTGATTAAAATTCGATTAATTGAGCAGCCCTACGTGCAGCCCTACTGCTAGGGCTGTTCGATATAACGATATAGATCGGATGACGATATAAAAACGTTTATCGTTTCATTTTAGCTATTGTTTGTTTCGTGGTGTCGCAAAATAAACTGTTTACGGCAATATTTTTTCATCGTTTTGATGGTCACTGTAGTGGCTATATTAATTTCTTCAAGTTCTCTCTTTCTCTTATATTTAATATAACCACACTACGGACAAGCGCCTGTTTTTATGCGTTGTGGTTAGCAACAATGACAGTAACACCATCGTGTGTCTGCTTGTTTATGTTCCACATAAACCTTTCACAATAAAGCTCAAGATCCTGTTGAGACTTTTCAAAATAAACTGAATCACGTGAAAGAGCAGATTATTTACGGATGAGAAGTAAAAAAGAGCCGCCAGGTGCTAAAAAATAAACCTTAGACTCAAACATTAGAACAGGCTTTTCCCCGCAGCACCCTGTGTAATAAATACTCACAAAGAAAACGGCGGCCATTACAACTTATGTCTAAAAATGTATCGTTTCATGCATCTGTTAAAACACTCGACTCCAGCTACATGACGCGCAGCTGGAAACACTTCCCGCAAGTCGAGCTGCCCGAGATTCACAGAATTTACAGAAAATGTTACATTTTTGTGATTTATATCGTTATCGAGATGATAGAATTCTTATATTGGGATATGAGATTTTGGTCCTATCGCACAGCCCTAGTGCCTGCTTACAGCAGTGTTTTAGTGTTTTGTTTTTTTGTGTTTTCTAAGACTGTTTCCCCACAGAGTAGTAAAACAGAACTTAAAATCACTCCGCTACTATTTCTTTATAAGAAATTGAGTTATGTATACTATATATCACACAGATCCATATGATTTTTAGGGCTTTATTATGTGTCGTTTTCATTATTCATTTATATGTATCATTTTAAAGTTTCATTCTATGCATGTTGATTGTTTTTTTTCCTTTTATGCCTCTTAACTACTTCCATCTTTACTTGCTTTTTTCCCCCATTTATTCTTAGTTAATTCATTCCACAAATAGGATCAGTGGTGGCTTTACAGTGTAGTAGTTATCACATTTACCTAACCTGTAAAAGATCCTTAGTTTGAGGCAAGAACACACAAATCCCTGGGACGGTTGCATCGGAAAGGACAGGCATAAGGGCATAAAAATCGGTGCCATACTGGATATACAGAGCTCTTTGCAGTGGCAACCACTTGCGAAAAAACCTTTATGAAATTGGATAAATATTAATAAATGAAATGTTACAATATTTTATAATTTTCCCCATCACCCATAACCTTATATAAAGTGTATAAATATATTAAGTGTCTTCAGACTGTACTCCATATAACCACGAGAGCGTTACTAAACACTTAAATCTACTAACAACTACATTACAGAGTGTCTGTTTTTTGCTCCTTTTATAAACTTAACAAGTTCAGCATATGTTGAAATTTAACTACAACAAGAGGACATGTTTGTTATCACCACAGGCTAAAGACGCAAATGTCTGAAGTGTCACCAAGGAGGCAAATTTCAGTGGCTGACTGGCCAGGCGTGCAAGGTTTTTGTTCCCTCACATAGAAGAACCTTGTTGAATGAAGATATAGGGCAAAATAAATTTACAGCTTTCCTGAATCACATATCAACAAGTACCTCTTTTGTTAAAGTATGACGGTAAACCAACATGCACGGTGACATGTCAAATTCTTCTTTTTTGTTAAAAAGAACCATTAACTTTTAGATTTCCAATCACTTTTCTATGAGTGTCTCCCGACTCTTTCTTTGCTTTCCATAAAAACCTCCTTGCTCATTCTTAGCCAAAGATTTCAGATACCAAACTAAGCTCTCTGTCAACTTTGTGAGGAGGTCTTGCACAAGACTTTTTGATAGAGGATTACCACTGCTTCATTTACACTGTGAAAGAAGCAGGCACTGAGATTATGATCAACACAGATTATCATTGTGTGTGAGAGAGGATGTGAAAGTGTGAGAATGGGTGAAATACAGTGATCAGACTGCAGTGGCTGGAGCGTTTCGCTGCGTGAATATAATCGAAAACATTTGTAATGAACATCTTTTTACCCGTCTGCTGTTACAAGCTGTCACTGTTATTGTGTCCATATGTCAACATCTGGAGCTATGCGGGAGTTTTATTCATGCCTCTGTGCTCTCATTTGTTTCTCTCTGCCCTTAGCTTCTCCTTGGCATTCCTATAAATCCACTGTCAAAATACTTTAAAAGTATTCGGGGTGTTGCCTGTTTTTCTTATTTTTTTTCTTTTTGTTTTTATTGCTGCTTGTGCCATTAAATCATCACAGAATGCAGTGAAAACTGTATAAACCCCTCCACAGGCATACAGACGTGCTCCTTTCCCTAACTTGGTTTTCCTCTAGGTCAAGAATCAAGAATTCAAGTTGTTATAAACGCGACCTTGTTTTTTTCACGTTAAAATGAGTTAGCCATTGAGCAGGAGAAGGAGGGAGGAGGAATAGATGGGAAAATAAGGCTTGTGTGACTTGTTGAAAATGCAACATTAGTTTATTTATGTTTTAAAAATTCTTTGTGCATGTAACAGCAGCTGGAATCCAGCACATGGATGCTGGCCTCCATTACGAACAATGAAACGTAATTAAAAATATTGACATAATATAACTACATCCAAAAGCTATTACTAAAAAGGCAGATGATAAATGAATGATTTAATAAGATCTGAGTTGTCTTATTTTTCTTGTCTTTAGAGGTTTAATGTGTCAGTGAAAAAGCTGCTTTTTTATTTTCTTTTAGCTGCATAACCCATTCAGCCCTCTTTGAAGGACCAGAGGGAGTCTCTGCTGGTCATACTGAATTTCCACACAGAGCCAAAAGTAATATTTGTTTTGTTGTTCTTGCAGGTGACCAAGGAAGATTTCATGAGCTTTGAGCACATTCTGTGCATGGACGAGAGCAATCTGAGGTAGAGTTATTTCAGCCCACAGCAGCAGTGTTTATTTTTTTTCTAAGAGTGTCAATCACGGTTGGATACTTAGACACTGAAAGCGCTGGTGTCATGTGTTAAGTGTCAAAAAACATTTGTCTTGTAACGGTCCAAACTAGTGTGTCCTGCTGTCATGACGTTTATCTGTGCTGTTCTTTCACATGCATACATAAAAATGGTGGGGACATTGAGCTATAAATGCCTTGTAGGAGAATGCCTCCCTTTAATGACCAATATCCTTTCTTAAGCTCTTTGCAGAGGTCAGGGGGAGGGATATTTTTTGCTACTTTGAACGTTTAAGGATCATTTTGAGATCACATGCCCACGGCAGATCTGATCTGTAAGCAGCTTACTGAGTTCTTTGGATGCCTCGTCTTTGCTCTTTGGGGCAGTCTTTTCTTTTCCCCCTGCACACTTTGTTTCCTACAAATTTTAAGTTGGCCAGACTGAGAATTCATTAATTCTTTGACCTACTGCTTTTGTCTGGGATTGACTTAAACATGTTAAGGTGTTACTTTTCATTTATGTACTCTGTATGTTTCCAGACTACACCGTTTTATTATTTATCACTGATTTAAAGTTAATGACATGAATGTAATTATTATTAGAGGAATGCTAGAATAAGAAGCAGACAATAAACACTATACAACAACATTATCTCGAATATTTAGAAGCATGTGACCTCTTTAATCCAGAGGTGCTCAAACCTCCCTTGTTTCGTGCTCTGTTCTTTTGGAGTTACTTGTTTTCTCTCACCTTTGCAGTGACTTGAAACGGAAGTCAAAGTCCGTGAAAGACTACACAGCAAAAATTGAGCTTCTTGGTTCTTATGACCCCCAGAAGCAGCTGATCATCCAAGACCCTTATTATGTAAGTATTCAAACACATCCCTATGTTCAACTTTATTGCTCAAATTTAGAGGATATGTTTAATTTAATGTTGTAGCGAGATGGTCCAGCAAAGAAGCCAAAGCCAGTAAAACTACAAGATGCAACATTTAGAGGCCTTTACTTACATTTAAGGGAGACACAAGAACTCATTTTAAATATCTATACCATTTGGCATGTTAAATTAAGTGCCATGCTAAGGTCTCAACCACAAAGGCCTAGAGACCTCTCTGGCAACCAATGGTTCCAAGGGGAAATGTGCATTCTCTGAAAGGTTGGTGAGTGGCAGCTGGCACTTGCTGTGAAATTGATTGCTAAAGCCCAATTCATGCAGGCGTAAAGACCTGTTAGTTACTCAGTGACGGCAACCTCAGCTTGCTAGGGAAAAGTGCATATTCCTGACTATCTCTATCCACATTCAAATTGGATAATGGTTTTAGGATTTTTAGCTCCTTAACACGTGCTCTTTTTTTTTTTTTTTTTGAAGGGACCAAAAGTAATTGGACAACTGACTCAAAGGCTAGTTCATGGGGTGGTGTGGGCAGTTACTTCGTTATATCATTATCAATTAAGCAGATAAAAGGCCTGGAAATTATTTGAGGTGTGGTACTTGCATTTGGGAGATTTTCCTGTGAACAGACAACATGGGGTCAAAGCAGCTCTCCATGCAGGTGAAATCCCCCATCCTTAAGCTGCAAAAACAGACAAAAAAAAACATCCAAGAAATTGCAGCAATTTTAGGACTGGCAAAATCTGCGGTTTGGTACATTCTGAGAAAGAAAGAAAGAAAGAAAGCACTGTTGAACTCAGCAACGCAAAATGACCTGGACGTCCACAGAAGACAACAGTGGTGGATGATCACAGAATCATTTCCATGGTGGAGAGAAACCCCTTCGCAACAGCCAACCAAGTGAACGTCACTCTCCAGGAGGTAGCTGTATCAATATCCAACTCTACCATAAAGAGAAGACTGCATGAAACAAAAAAAAAAGCCAGCACAGTTCTGTCAGAAACATTCTTTGGACAGATGAAACCAAGATCAAACTCTACCAGAATGACTGCATGAAAAAAGTATGGAGAGAAGGCGTGGAACAGCTCATGATCCAAAGCATACCGCATCATGTGTAAAACACAGCAGAGGCAGGGTGATGGCTTGGGCATGCATAGCTGCCAGTGGCACTGGGACACTAGTGTTTATTTATGATGTGAAATGGGACAGGCGCAGCCAAATCAATTCTGAGGTGTTCAGAGATATACTGCTCAAATCCAGCTAAAGGCAGTCAAACTGATTTGGCGGCATTTCATAATAAAGATGGGCAAAGACCCAAAACATACAGCCAAAGCAGGACCCAGGAGTTTATTAAAGCAAAGAAGTCAAATATTCTTGAATAGCCAAGTCAGGTGATTCAATTAAAATTCATTCTGGTAATGTACAGAACCAAAATTAGAAAAAAAGTTGTCTCTGTCCAAATATTTATGGACCTAACTGTATACATCAAGTTCGCTTTTCTTCTGTTGAACAGATGATTTGATTAAAAGGTCCTTCCATATTTTTCCTAATATAGGTTTTTATGGCGATTACAGTTACATGGACTGCTGTTTTGAAAAAACATTTTCTTTCACTTAACCTGAGCTCACCATTCAGTAATGGCTCAGCCTTTTTGCTCTTCTCCGTGTGTGCAGACAAACTCCGGCTCCACATTAAACTATGACGTCATCTTGTCTGCTGTGTTTGTGCTATCAGTTATCAGTTTTTATTTAAAAACTGGGGGCTGCATGAGCTTAATGTTGTAATACTTTTTTATTCACATGCGTGGCCCTAGATACATTACTATTGCACATCTATTTTTAGTCTCAAATGCTGGTAAAATTATCACGTTTACATGGTGACAACTGAGCGCTACCGAGCTGTGGATTAAATGAAGCATTGAATTAAAACAATTTGTATTGAGGGTTTTTTTTCCTATAATTGAGTTATTTGAGTGACTCGATGAATTGTTATATCCCTAGTCTAATGTGTGAGTGGGGATCATCTGACCTGCCCTTTAGACTCTCTACCCAGGCAAAAACCCAATCTAGTATTTCTACTAGTGATAAGGTGTCTAAATGAACTCTGTTGTGCACTAAATGTGAAAAGGGGGAACTTTAAGCCAAACATACAAAAAAAATGAAATCTAATATATACAAGAGACAATAAAGCGGGAAGAACTTTTTTTTCATAATAAGAATCCTGATTAAAAGCCCAAAAAAGTATTTCAAAGTAAAACGTCAAACTCTTTCAGTAATTGTAGTAGATACAAAAAAGCTACATTCAGCCCATTCTGTAACATTTGTGTTTCTCTTCAAAGGATCACGTGGGAAAAATTCTATGGAAAAGATAAAGGGCAGGAAATGTCACACAGAGCAGTCATTTGAAGTATATTTATGGTTTTGGATGGACCGGATCAGTCTTCAGGTGCAAGTGGAAGAGTTAAGTTGTCTGCAGGGAGAAATCCAGACACAATTGATGCAGTAAAGAGCGCCAAAACAAAATGAACGGTTGCTAGTAAAATAGCTGTGTTTCTCACAAAAAAGTGGTATTCAGCCTTTCCAGACCAACACTCACCATAATATATTAGTTTTACGGAACCATAACAGATGTTTTCTGGTTTCACATTGGTAAGCTTTTCACAGTCCGTGGCTCGGTAGTTCTTTTTGTTCCCTAAATGTTTTGAGTCCTGCCAGATGATTTGGACATGGATTCTTGGCTGGTTTTTATTGTCTTGAGTATTATGAGTGAAAAAGGCAAGAATTGGAAAAGTGCAGGCAGAGACCTTTGGAAGGCTTTGAAAGTTTGAGTGTTGACAATAGACATTTAAAAAAAAAAAAAAAAAAAAAATCTTAACCTCCTGTGGCCATTTAAACTTTAATATATTTTTATGGTTGGTTTATTTAAATAAATGGCAAGGGATCTTATAATAAGTAATAATTTTCATATGTGGTCTTTATGAAAAATGTGTGTGGCTAGAGCTATTTTAGATGAATTATATTGTATAGTTCCTATGTCTTTGATTTTCCCATAAGAACTTGGACTTTAAATAAAACAGTCATGAATTATTAGTGATGCAGCTGGAAGAAGAAAGAGTGACCACAGTTTATGTGATTGTATTGAGTGTATTGGATTGTGTGATTTTGGCTTTGGACGCTGTATTTCTTTGTGTAATTTTACCAAATCTCATTATAGTCAATGTGGTTTTGGAGGCATGTAAGTACTTGGATTGGTACCTCGCCAGCAACCACATAGCATGACAGCCAAGCGAGCAAAAAAGGGGAGAACAATCGCTGTCCGTGTGTCAGGATAAATAAAGAATTATGTTGTTTTTACACATGAATTCTGGATTGTCCGTAATTGCCCTTTTGCAGATGTTGCACATAATAGGAGAGTGTGCGTGTCAGACGTACCTTTACAAATGGAATTATTAAAATATTTATATTTTAGTAATTTGGAGTATGTGGCATGTGTCACAGGTGTGTAGTTACTCACTCAATCAGTTGAGAATAACAGTTGAATTTAAACCAAGATGAAGTTTTGTGACAAGACTACAAACATGAGTTCATGATGATGTGAACTGAAGAGGAGGAAAGAGACGTGTTAAACGGCCATTGTAAACTTTAAAAATTTAAAATACAGATAACAACGTTTCTCTATTAAATGTTTCTTAGCTCTATTATTATTTTCAATCAGTTGCATTGAGCGATTGTTAATGGAATATTTTAAAATGTAGGTATCGACTTTTCATTTTTTTTATTTCTTGTTTGTTAATTCGTAATTAAACAATAAGAACTTAATTATAGAACAATTTGGATTACTTATAATGGGTTAAATTAACTCAATGTCAAACTTTCTGATTCTTTTATTTTATCAATGTGAAGGTGTTCATCATTCATCTTTCTGCACATAATACACAAGAAATGCTGCTGCTGCTACTCATACAGTGCTGGATCATTGGTATAGGGATGTCATGATACCAGCAATTTAGTAGTTAGTACACAATAGAATTACACGATGCTTAAAAACCCAATTCAGCATCACAACAATCATTGTACTCTACGTACTTAAACATTTTGATGTGATAACAAATCATTTCAAATATTTTTTTTGACAAGGCATAACCTGACATGTTAGGAAGATTACCAAGTAGCCTATGAATTTCACAGTTACTTATTTTATAAGCACTTAATGGTGCCACTGAAAACATTTTAGCCTAGACAGGAAAACAGTGGCCTCTGCAGCTGCTTAGGTCCACATCCACGGTCACAGATACAGCTGAATGTCATCAGAATAGAGTGATACAAAATGTCAGAAAAGGATTTAATGATGCCAGCTAAATGGAATGTAGAAGGAAAATAATTGTGGGCCCAGGATCAAACCTTGTGGAACCCCATAAGTTAGGGATGCAATGTGGGAGAAGGACTTGTTTGCCCTAACACAGAAAATTCTATCAGATAATGGGGGGAAAAAACAAATATAAAATATGTTTTATATTTTTATTTTTATAAAATATATAAAAAATAATAAATTATTTTAACAAAATAATAAATAATTTATTAGGGAATCACAAAATTCAATGTAGTTATGTGTTTACAAATTCTTTTTTTAAAAACGTAAATCTCAGCGAGAAATACCACTTTGAATAGTTATGAATAGAATTTCAAAACCCTTTTGGCTTCAGTCTTGACAATTTGGTTCTCGGAATAAGAACATTTCTCAGTTGAGTAACAAACTGTCATTTTTTATAATTTGGGTGTATCCAGCCTGCATCAGAGGGCAGGCCGTACTTCTGTTCCATTCATATAACTGTATATTTTCACTGTGTGCAATAGACAACAAATTCCAGTGATTGCGAGCTATGAATAGTTGGCTAAATCATTTTAATCTCCCCCTCCCTAATTTTGTCTTTTAGGGAAGTGATGAAGACTTTGAAAAGGTCTATGAGCAGTGTGTACGATGCTGCAAAGCTTTCCTGGAGAAGAACTCCTAACATCTACATTGACATGTCTTAGATGTATGAATAAATATGGGTTCTCAATTAAATATACTTACACAAATATATGTATAACTCTGTTGTGAGTAAATACTAAATACCACCAGATTACCTGTTTTGGTGTACGCATAATGTACATTTAGAACAGTATTGTGTGGGCAAGTTAACAGACTGTACATTCAATTGATTAATAAAACAAATAAAGTGAGTGTGACAGTTTAAAGTTCCTTTTGTTATTATTATTATTTTTTACACATTGTCAATTTTTGTTTCCTGAAAATTCTACAAAATTGATAAGATAATATAAGATAACTCTTTGTTGTCATTGCACAGTCATACATATTGCACATTAAATATTATTGCACCTTGTTATAAATATTATTATTGTTATTGTTTTTACCGTTGTTACCTCCCCCCCAAAAAAAGTCCAGGGAGGTAGTCAATCAGGTCAGCTATTTGCATTGATTAGGGCTATTGCTATAGTAGTAATAGAGGTGTATGGGTTAAATGCTGACACTGGGATCAAAGGGAATGCTACCATTAGTGCTTGATGGCTAGGATATTCTCTTGACATATTATTTTTATATACTGGGAGATGTTCGGTTTGTATAAAGAACATGGCATGTATTTGTTTTGTTTTAAAAAACAGCAGTGAAAAAAATTTATTTTTTTAATAGATGCAAAACTTAATCTTCTCAGTACAGCAATCACTTAAGTCAGAAGTGGCGACAGTGTTATAATAAATTTGGTCTCTAAATCACCCACACAAATGACCACTCAGTGCACTTCACAATGGTAGACTAATTTCACCACAGATAGAGATAGATGCAAGGAAAAACGGCTGCAAATCATTACACAAGAGTGGAGTAGAAAGACTAGATGAATCAACTGGTGGCTGGAGGGCTTCCAGTTGGTGATGACTCTAGTTTTAGCGTAGATATAGCTGTGTATCTGTAAACCTTAGGAGCTTTTAACTTTTAAATATGAGAACACAACTTTTTTTTTCCTGACTTAATGATTTTTTTTCTTCTTTTTCTGGACACAGGCAAGACCAGTCTGTTTTATTTAGCACTGAAATAAAGTATGTTGGGGAAAGTAAGCCAGGGAATTAATTTGCATACTAAATAACTTGTACTGATTTTCTGGCATAGCTTAAAGAGTAGTTTGACATTGTTTTGAAATCATATTTAATAGCTGTCTTACCTAGACGTAAATGGGGAGATTTCCGACATGCTCTCGTCTAAATGCCAGATACAAAGTAACATTCAAAAATTAGTTCACTAGCCCAGTTGAGAGTCAATATAGGGAAGGAGCTGGTTTGTCTAAAGCTAACTTAAGGTTATGTATATAACCCCGGTTCTCTGAGTAGCATGAGCGAGCGTCTCACTATGGGAACGCCTCCTGCTAAGTGACGCCCATGTCAGGAGGGGCTAGTGCCTCCCTATATAATAGGCTGACATAGCGTCAGATGTCATTCAAAACAAGCCCACCTCTTCCTCGCTTCCATAGCAAGGAGGGCGGTCCGATGAGACACTCACTCATGCTACTCAGAGAACCGGGGTTATATACATAACCTTAAGTTCTCTTTCATAGCATTCGTTTCGTGTCTCACTATGGGAGAAATACTGACTCCCAGATTGCCAGACATGCCTGTTAAGAAGACAACTGTCCCCAACAGCACTTCACAGGGGAGAAGGAATAGAAACTCCCCTAAAGAGAGCCCATGAGGTTGCCAAACCTCTAGTGGAATGCGCACGCAAGCCAGCAGGAGGCCGAAGTATAGGCCAGGGAAATTGTTCCTACTATCCAATGGGAGAGGCGCTGTTTAGACACAAGCTTTCCCATATGTGGTTTAGCCCAGGACACGAACAGCTGGTCACTTTGTCTGACACTCTGGGTGTGTGCAGAGCACGGACTGGGCACAAGGTATGCAGCTGCTGTTGCTCCTCTGAGGAGAAAGGTGGTGGGTAAAAAGCCGGCCTTTGGGATAAAGGCAGGGTTGAGCCTCGTATTATCCGAGGAGAACTGAATGCATGACTGATGCACTGAGAGAGCGTGGGTCTCTCCTACACGCTTAGCTGAAGCTAAAGCAATCAATAGAGCCGTCTTCAAGGACAGAAATTTTAACTCAACCTGTTCCAGGGGTTCAAATGGGCAACAGGAGAGCGCAGCTAATACTATGGGAAGGTCCCACGATGGAGCCAACGGCCTAGACACTTATGTTGACTCTCCATATTACTGTGAAGCACTTTCGTGTGCCTTCGGGTTTTTAAATGTGCTATATAAATAAAATTATATTGTATTGTATTCTAGATGTAGGCAATTTACGCCGTGCACCCTTCATGAAACGGCATATTAAGGGATGCTGGCCAACAGTCTTCCCCTCAAAACCAATATGGCAGGCTGAAATTGCTGCCAAATACACCTTGAAGGTGGAGAAGGCTTTACCCTTATCAATCAGGGCCTGAAGAAATGACAGAATCACAGCCACAGAGCACTGAAAAGGGATGGCCTGTGATTCTAAGCACCAGCTTTCAAACACACGCCACTTGTGCTCATATAGCATCCTAGTAGACGATGCTCTAGAACACTGAATAGTGTCGATAACACTATGAGGGAGCCCCACCGTGTTCAGGTTAAACCACTCACGGGCCAATCCCATAGAGCTAGCCTCTCTGGATGGGGGTGGAATATTTCCCCCCGTGCCTGAGACAGGAGATCTCTGCGTAGTGGTAACGGCCGCACAGCTGCTGAAAAATCTCCGCCAGCCAGTGCTTCCCTGGCCAGTGTGGGGCTATCAGGATCATATAGTGCAGGGGTGTCAAACTCAAATACACAGTGGGCCAAAATTCAAAACTAGAACAAAGTCGCGGGCTAACGTTAATATTTATTGAAATATATTTATTCCTCCAAATATAAGAATGAATCTTTTCTTATGGACTCAAACACGTTTTGCTGAAAAACTGAATATGGAACAAGCAAAGCTTAATACTAAACAATATATATATATTAGCTGTATAATACCAGTAGGCCAGCTCTGATAGTAATTTGGTATGGCTTCGCGGGCCAAATGTAATTAGGCCGCGGGCCAGAGTTTGACACCTATGATATAGTGACTTCTCTCCCTCACTCTGGCCAGAGTTGGAGAAATGAGGGCCACTGGGGAAAAGCATAGAGGAGGGTTCTCGGCCACTCGTGAGCTAGAGCATCCACCCCGAGTGGAGCTTTCTGATCGTGCAGCGAGTAAAACAGGGGACACTGAGCATTCTCCCTGGATGCATAAATGTCCACGGTCGCCTGACCGAATCGCAGCCAGATCTGCTTCACCACCTCTGGGTGAAGCTTCCATTCGCCATACAGCAGATTGCTCCTGGAGAGAAGATCTGCTCCAAAGTTCAAGATTCCCGGCACGTGAGTTGCTCTCAGTGACAGCAGGTGGACACTGCTCCAGACTATCAGTCTGTGTGCTAGTGTGTGTAACTTGGGGGACCCCAGACCCCCTGTCTGTTGATGTAGGCCACAACAGTGGAATTGTCCAACCTCACTAAAACATGATGACCTCTCAGCCAAGGGAGAAAGTGTTTTAGCGACAGGTGAACTGCCAGCAGTTCCAGACAGTTTATGTGGGTGGAGCGCATGTGAGGGCCCCACTCCCCATTCACTGTTCTGCCCTCGTGGGTGGCCCCCCAGCCTGAAAGAGAGGCATCTGTGAAAATCACCTTCCTGGTTGAAACTGCCCCCATGGCAATGCCCTGAGACAAGAAACCTGGCTTCTTCTACTCGCGGACAGCGAGTGAACAGTCTGCAGAGACTCTCACGCAACAGTGGCCGTTTCGGTGAGGGTCCAGTCCCCGCGAGCCCACCCAGCGCTGAAAGCCTCTCATGTGCAGGTGTCCCAGTGTTATCGCCACTAGAGAAGAAGCCATCAGACCGAGGAGCCTCTGGCACTGTTTGAGGGTCACTGTGTTGACTTTGCGAAACAGTGCTAGGGATGACCGTATGGCCGCTGTTCTCTCTGGGGACAGAAAAGCTCTCACCCGGAGGGAGTCTAGGCTGAGCCCTATGAAAGTAGTAATGCATTGAGTTGGCTTCAATGTGCTCTTTTCCACGTTTATCTGGAAACCCAAACTCTCCAGATGGTGTATGAGAGCATTTGTGTGACAAGCCACTTCCTGGCGGGTTGGGGCTGCCACCAGCCAGTCGTCGATGTATGTGGCGACTCGAATGCCCTTTTCCCTGAGCGGGGCCACTGCTGCCTCGGTGCATTTCACAAACACCCTTGGGCTCAGTAAGAGACCATAAGGCAGGACTATAAACTCGTACGCTATCCCCTGGAAAGCAAATCTTAGATACTTTCGGTGTGGGGGATATATGGGGATGTGGAAATAAGCATCCCTCAGGTCGATTGATGTGAACCAGTCGCCTGCATCAACATCCTGAACTTGTATGTCCTTAAATGCCGGTTCAGGGCACGGAGATCCAGGAAGGCTCTCATGCCCCTCCCCCCTTTCTTTGGCACAAGGAAATACCTTGAATAAAATCCGCTGTGCATTTCCTCGGGAGGGACAACTCTTATAGCTCCTTTGTCTCTCAAGGTGGAAATTTCCTCCAGGAGAAAAGTGGCAGATTCGCCCAGAGCACGAGAGTAAACGATTTCTTTGCAATGTGGTGGAGTGACATTGAATTGCAGCCTGTAGCCCTTTTCCAATGACCTCAGCACCCATCTTGACTGAGTGCAGGTAGCCCAGCTCTTTATGTGGAGAGACAGAGGGCTCACTGGCCACTCAACCGAAGATGGCGTTTTGGCACCCCCTTTTGGTTGCAGCGCGAAACATACGCCATTTCGGTGTTCCGTCACCTCTGTCACAGGTGAGCGAGGTGACGGGCTCATCTGCATTATCACAGCCGTGGAAATGAGAGATCTCTTCCCACACTGTGGTATCTGGTTTAGCTGTCATAATAATAATAATAATAATAATAATGGATTGGATTTATATAGCGCTTTTCAAGGCACCCAAAGCGCTTTACAATACCACTATTCATTCACTCTCACACACTGGTAGAGGCAAACTACAGTTGTAGCCACAGCTGCCCTGGGGCAGACTGACAGAAGCGAGGCTGCCATATCGCGCCATCGGCCCCTCTGGCCAACACCAGTAGGCAAGTAGGGTAAAGTGTCTTGCCCAAGGACACAACGACCAGGACAGAGAGCCCAGGGATCGA